AACGTTACAGGTCGGCCGATCTGGTTTCGTGGTTAAAGGTAACCTTTTCGACATGTTTCCGTGTTGTCGTTGCTCAGCAAAGGCATGGACGCGATGTTGTCTGGGGGTTTGGCAAAAGGAGAGTGGGACTGTGGGCGGTGCTCAGGGTGGTGACTGAAGGCAGTAGTTCTGACGTCAACTTTTTACGGAAGTCACAACGGTTCGTGAAAAATAGATAGAACTTTAAGCAGGCTGTGTGAATTTTACTGTGGACTGACTGTTTTGAAACTTATATGGTAGTTAAATAGCCCCTAGACCTCAGTAATCGTGAAAAAAGCCAGGAAATTTCAGTTTTGACAATATGGGACCTTTAAAGCATACTATATTCCTCAACCTCAGCGAAGCACATAGCTGGACAAAAATGGGACTAAATTTAGTCTGTGCCAGGGTAACCGGGCCCTACAGTACACGTGGTTTTGTAATGTTTTGAATCATAGTAAATATCAGATGGTGTTACATGCCTGCAGCTGAGCAGAGGGAATTACGTCACAGACAGTGGCCCTTCCCCTGGCGTATTATTCAGAGCATACAATAATGCAAAACGGAGGAAGCCACAAATTCAAACAAACCGGTGTCAATTATCTGGTGCCTGTAATAACTAAAGCAACACTCACCCTTATCTTTCTTGGCATCGCCATAAAATTTGCCTGCAGAGAGGACAAACTTCCCGTAGTCTGATTTATGCTTGGATTCCACCCATCGGCTCCTCCAGGTGTCTGAAATGTGCATGTGTGGCATGAATATAAAATTAAAAGCTTTATTATTAGCATGCATATATGCATAATTATGAGTAAGATCAGATTAAATCAAGGACGTTTGCTCCACTGATCATTATTCATCCGTTCTGCCTTGACTATTTGTTATAAGATAACCACTATCCAAACCAAGACTAAGATTTAAAAGTATTATTATTATTACTACTATTATTATTATTATTATTATTATTATTATTAAATGAATGCAACACACCATTGTTGCCAAGCCATTAAAATGGCATATAGTGACTCCATCACATAGAAAATCAGGTCTATGGCGACTCCATCACATGCTCGAAAGCCACAGATAAAGCCGCATAAACAGTATTCAAACAGCATAAAAACACAATTACTTCAAACTTACCACCGTCTTCAAATTGCTCTCGGAAATAAACAGATGATTCTGCAGTTATTAAAGCGATGGACACGGCCATAACCAGTAGAGATAACGCTGTCATCTTTGCAGTAAAATATATATACTCTTTTTACGGAGACAGAACAGTAAAATATAAAGGAAACGATTTAATAAGAAATATGAGGCTTGAATATGTATAGAATGAGCTCTGTTTGGATCTTCACATGCCTGCATAAATCACTGTGCGCTGCTCTCTTTCGCTCAGTCTCGCCTCTAAACTGGGAACAGATGGCTGGCTCTGATTGGACGGCAGCTGGAGACGTCAGCGTCACACCGGTCAGCCAATCAGATCATTAGAGGAATGATGTGGAAGGTCCTTTCTGGCCAATGCCAGCTGACCACGCGTTTGGCAGCCACTAGTGATGAGAAGACTCATTTCCGCGAATCGGTTCAATGAACCGATTCGGAAAACGGACTCAGTGGTTCCATTGTTCTTACGTGGTTCCTGACATCAGGCAGTCTGGCAGTGGTGGTGGTGTATATTATCTAAAATCTTTCATTATAACCACATGTATATACATATTATTGTTTTGCAGATTATAAAACCTTTTTTTCACGTTGTAATAAAATGCTTACAACCAAGTCTGTTTCATATATGTTAATTAAATGGTCGCGCAATCAAGTTGTGAATGTATTTCCAACAGTTTTATTTCATATTTCTGAAATTTGAAGATGCGTTTGGTTCGACGAGTGCATTTTTGAGTCGAAAGCTGCTTCCACTCGATTAGCGAAGGAATGTTCGTTTCTATTCGTGAATAATTCATTCAGATCATCTTGTGAAACAGGTTCAGCACGGTCTTTAAAAAGAACCGACCAGATTCGAAGGAATATTTGTTCACGAGTTGGCATGTAAGCTCGTGCTCATATGAACATGATATCTGCTTTTCACTGATATTTTAGTTGTAAAGTTGTTCAAAAACAAGATCTTGTTAATGGAATTGGTTTTTATTTCCACTGCATTTTATTAATCCAAGCATGTGGTTTAGTGGTTTGCAAAAATGTATACAGAGATATCAAGTCAAGAGTTTTGAGAGCTTGGCACATTATCTTTTATTTCTCTTTTACATTAGACAAATATCAGTAACAATGCCATTTCCCACTGGTTTCTGTGTTATCAGTGGGAAAAGGAAATGCAGAATTGAAGCTTGCTCAACTAATAATAACAAACTGCACTAAGCCAAACCCTAAGCAGAAGACTGAATGTTTAGTAAAGTAACTTCATTTTTAAAAAGCTGTTGACAAAAATCCCACCCAGTTTGGCATCACTTGTCTGACATTATTTGTAGACAAAACCCTTACAAAAATGTAGAATGTTAGCTGGTGACATGGTTCATCCATCAAACACTAACCTGTAGTTACATTCAAGCACAACTTGAATATAGTTCTTTCAGTAAACATTATCAGAGCGGACACTTCAAAATCAAAAAGCTTGTTACTTTTAGCAATGAATTTGCCAAAGATGCATGTTACTAGTTGAAAACAGTACAGTGAATAAAATCAGGTTAATTTGATAAATTGGCAAACTACAGAAAAATGCGTACTGGCCTATGTGAAAAAGTTACATCAAGTCTCAGTTGTATAGTAATGATTCCTTCAATCTCATGTTTGTCAAGCTTAACCCTCTAGCTCTTTTTCTACCTACATAAAAATGATCATTTCAGTAGCATATCTTCACCAACAACTGAATCACTTCAACATTTTCATATCAGAATGTGTTCAAAATGGAAATATCAATGAACAAAAAGCACATATGATTTTAACTAGTTTTGAAGAGGTTGTAACATTTAAATATACATGACACAAAAAGATATACAATAAATAAACAAGATTTTTTTTTTTAATTGTTACATAAGTCTTGAAATATGATCTTTAATGCAGATAATGATGACTGAAATATGCCAAAAATATAAAACGGCAACTAAAAGAAATATTCCAGGTTAAAGAAAACTTACATTCAGTCGATTACCACAGAAAAACATTTAAAATGGTCTTTTAAAACACATTTGACAACAATATACTTACAGGAAAAGCCTAGCAGATCCAATCAATTAATTTTTCTATTGAATATCCTGTTTTGCTCAGAAATACATAGTATGGAAGTACAAAAAGGTTGCAAACAGCAATTTCCATTTAACTGTAAATGTAAAAAAAAAAAAACTTAAACATTGTGGTTTTGCTTGCTTAAGAGGCTTCCAGTGTAAGTGCATTACTGTAAATGCAGTCTTTTTTAAAGAGGTTAGGTTGCTTAAGTTCATATCAATGCATGTAAACTGTAACATTGCTTGGGAGAAGTAGATAAGATAGATACAGATAAAAAGTTCTTAAAAATATATTTCAGTAGGGTTTACCATGAGCAAACCCCTCTCTCCCTGTCCTATATAGAGTTGAAACTCTACATGTGAAGTTTTTTTCTGCATTGTCAGCGTTGTATAATTTGCATTTCAGATATCAGCAGTCATTTCTGCTTCATTCAAGTATACTCTGTGTTTCTTTAATGTCAGTGATCTTATGTTGCTCTCCGTTATGGCAAAAAGAAATTGATCCTTTGAGGAATGGATTTGCAACCCTGTGCAGAGAAGAGTTTCTCCTCCTTAGGAACGTACAGCATGGCTTTAGCCACTTCATCCAGAGTCCCCTCATCCGGCTGAAGGTCACGAGCTGCATATGCATCACGTGCACACAGTTTCACATGCCGGTACTCCAGCGGCAAGAATGGTACAAAGAAGTCAATCAGATGGCCTGAAATCAGCTCACTCTGCGCAAAACCTCCTGCAAAGGTAAAAAGTAATTTAGCAACAGGAATCATAACATTTTTTCATGAAAATCACAGACTTGTATATATGAATTTAAATACGCAACATCTATGAGATATTTGTCAGATGTTTAGCAATTAGATTTATTAGTTCTGTTATGATGTACTTGACTGCAGGTACCTTCTGCTTCCATGGCTTCAGCACGCAGAAGATGTTCCAAGTCTTCCATGCCGATATCTTCCCTATTCTGTCCCGAGTGCCAGAAATCAAGTGCCACCTCATTGATGGCACCACCACCGATATTGCTAAAGCATGACATTAAGGAAACAGACTTTAGTTTTTAGTTTTTTAATTGGATCATAGCAACAAATTACATTTTTCAGATTTTGCATCTGTAAAGAACACACCAACCTTAGGAACAGAAATATGGCTCTTCTATAGCTGACCCCATCCACATTATCATAGTGGTCCATGTAGGGCTTTATGGCATCAATGAGTCCCGGGTGAAGCTTTTCTGCCTCATCAAAGATAAAGAGAGTCTGTGGGCATCGCAGAACCATGTCTCGAATGGCTTCTCTTAGCTGGCCCTGGTCGCAAACACACCCACACAAATACAAGCACAAGTAAGGTTCAGGATTCACTAACACGTACGTGAATATTTCAGAATTTGGAGCACAATCAACTGAATCAGGTTTTCTAACTGAACTATCCAAGTATATCAAGGTTGAATTGCATAATCATACAATTGTACCACAGCTTTGACATCTCATGGCAGTGATCCAATAAATGTTCCCCAGAAGCTCAAAAAAAGTGATTGTATTGGACCCCTGCCTATGTGAAATGCGTTGCATTTAGTTTTTTCAAGTTAAATATATCCAAGCAGATGAATTATAGTACAAGTAGCAAATATTTTACTCATGTGTAACATTATAATGTAACCAAATACTACTCATTTGTTTGTAAAAGGTAAACTAAATCAACAGACGATTGCTGAATCAGATCAAATGACCTGGGCAGCTGTGTGGATGTCAAATGTTGAACCTTTGCTCACCTTGTACACGTCCACCAATCTCGCGTGAGGGAAGTGGAATGGGGCAATGAACAAACGCACACATTCGCTCTTTATACCATCCCGGTAGAGGTTGTCCGCTACTATCCGGGCCACAAAGTTCTTGCCTGTCCCAGACCAGCCGTGAAAGGACAGAGTCAGTGGTTTGTTGGACTCGGGGTTTTTGATGAATCCCTGAATGGCTTTCAGAACCACAGACTGGACCAGGTGCTGCCCATGAAGCTTCACCTGTAGATCTTTTTCCAATCCTGAAATATGCATTGATAAGAGAAATTCATTTCAATAAATGTTCAGACATTCCCAAGATTTTGTGTTTGAACTTTCTGATATTTCTATAATTTCAACAATTGTAAAAACCTGAATATTTGTATAAAATAATGCATGCATGATGTTGATGTCTCCACCTGTGATGTTATTTGTAATCCTACAGTCTCCTGAATCACAGCACTGACCCAGGCTGCAGTACCATGCAGTCAGCATGCCAGTGTAGTACTGGGGAAACCCTGACCAAATGTCCCCAGTAGCCACTGAGAAGAGTGTTACATAAGCCGGCAGTGAGTTAAATTACAATCAGTACAAATACTGCCACTCTTTAAAGAGACACTGGGAAAAGTTTATCCAAATCAACTTAAAATGCATTTTATTATCCATATCCATTTAATAGATTCATACATTATATTTACATAATACATTATTCTGCTCAGTATTGTTAGAAAATTTCTAAACGCTTCCATGAAAAACAATTAGCAGAAAAAAATAACGCATTACACGTTGGTTATTCAATCCATCTTAAATTATATAAATATATGATTTGTATATTTATATAAACATTTTACCATAGCATATATTAAAATATACCTTTATTATATATAGCTATATTATATCTTTACCTTGTTGGGTTGCATCATCCTGGTGTGGTTGACAGTCCCCTTCCCAAATATTGCAATAGATGTAATTGAAATAATAGGAAGAAACATTTGAAATGCTATCGAATTGAAAAAAATCCGCTTCAGCCGAAATAGCCAGGAATGAGAGCAAGATTACGAGAGAAAACATCGGTGCCGACAAAAATATAGCTCTCGCAGAGACTGTAACATTGCATCCGAGCCTCACTGACTGCAGGCCGCATCTGCGCTCAGAACTGAAACACGTCACAATCTTCACTGGAACAGGGTACAAAGTGGGCGGGGCTTGGTGTTGTAAGAAAAGATTCTGCGATTCTTTTATCAAACCAGTGGCCATTATAACAAACTATACTTGTTCAAATATTTAAAAAAAATCCGCGTCACTTCAGGTTTAACTTCATGAAGTAGCACAGACCTGGTCACGTAGCAATAGCTCATTTTCTCAGCGCTGAGCAGACTGGACCAATCGCAGTAGTTTGAGAACGTGATGTTAAGTTTGATATATTAGATTGCTGGGCTAATTTGCATATCAGGTATCGCCGCTTCTGTACAACCGATGTTAGCGACAGAGTAAATGTTGCGATAAAAGTTGCTGCCACTCCAAATACTGAGAACGTTCATATGAAACCCCATTTCCGACACAGAATTAGGCTTTGGTAAACCTGCATGGAAATGAGCCATGCGTTAAGTGTAAATCAACTTACACGTGCCATCACGACAGAATTTACTCCGTTTTGAGCTGCAAATAATGTGTAAGAAACTAGCTTCCATAGCTTAGGTTTAGCAAGTCAGCACTCAACATTAAGTGTAAAACAAGCCAAGGCAAACTGCATGCTACCAAAATGTCTGAATGTTCAGTTTAAACTATCAATGATAGAAGATAATCACCCCCCCACACACTTTATAAACTTGAGACTGACCTTTGATTTTACCACTTTATTGAAGACACTTTACAAACTTTGCTTAGTTGCAACAGATGTAGATAACGGATTTGAAATGTAATTTTAATTGCTTCAAAGAGACTACAAAAATCATAAGAGGTACAAGAACTGAAGCCCTGGAACACCATTCAGAAGAGTCATTCTGCAAGAAACAAGGAGAGATTTTAGAAGAGCGCAAGTGCAAATATCAAGGTTAAAGTAGAATCAAAGTCAACCTCAGATATAAGGAACGGTATAAGGATATAATCAGCAGATTCATTTGGCAGAATCATGTCATCACAGGTTGCAATAAACACTGAAAGAGAACATGTCATAACCATACCTTATACTACAATGATACTTTCCGAGCCATCCTGGATGATCTTGAGCTCCCTAAAGAGAGACCACCATTGGTTAGTTGGTCACAGCCAACATGTTGTCCAAACCAGCACCTGGGTTTCAGTCAAAGACTGTCCACATTGTGTGTTCAGGTCAGACATTTGAGGCATCACAAAAACCCAACTATGAAAGATATTGGGAATGTCTGCAAAAAAACCCACCAACCTTTAAAAAAAAAAATGCACACCACACTCCCATGGCACGACAGGGGTCAACACCATACTGGTCAATGAGCAGACACCTGTTAGAACAGAAAACATCCATAAACACAGAATTTTAACGTGACCACATCAGCCAGAGCTAATATTCATCCTCCATGGCAAAGTCAGTGGATATCAGATTCATCACAATGGTCAGAGCAACAGATTTACAACTACAAAAAGGAGTAAATGCTTACAGTGACTGTCATCAGCACATCATGCTGGTCATCAGGCCTAAAAAGACAAAAAAGACAATTAAACTCAACATTCTTATTTAAAAAAAAAAAAGAAAAAAAAAAAAAAAGCATAACTACGTGGTCTTAAATCAGAATGTTTTAACGTGTCCTCAAAAAGATCAGAGACCTGATTCAAACTCATCAGTTTGAGACCACTGTAGTACCAGTAACAAGTCCCTTCAACTGACTTACCCTGAAGAACATTCAGACAGCTGCGGATTCTCCCATAGCCAGACGTGCTAGCTCCCCAGTTGAACTCCTGCTGCAAAGAGAAACGAGACTTAAGACACCACCACTACTAAAACACAGAAATAGAACACCAGTGATGCATCAGCTAGGAGCGAAAGACTATGCTTTGTGTTCTTCATGGATTTTCTGCTGAACTATGCAGTCATCATTTGCATCACAGAAACTAAAGTATTAAAAATGCTAAATTAATACCGTGCTCAGCTGGTGGCATCTTAATCTCTTGTGCAAACATCTCAAACAGCCTGTAATAAAATACAGTTAGTACAGAACAGAGACAGAGGATAACGTCTTAAACAAGCACCGTTTCAGTACACAGATGTCTTTCAGTCTAATTCAGAGAGATTCCCATTGTTTTATAAAACAATCATCATGAACAGTGAATGACCGCAGCTTAGGAGGCACTTCAGAAGTACTTCAAAATGCTTACCTTTCAATTCAACTGCAATGCACATGTTCCTATGAATCAAAAAATGTCAAATATTAACAAAGGTCACACACGCAACACACTTGTATTCAAATGCTGTGCTTCAGACAACGTTATCTTGGTGGTTGCAGTTTCATCAGAGTAAACTCAAGAGTAGCAAATTGGATCATCATACACTTATATTAAAGCACAGCATGTATAAAACAATATATACCTTTGACACCACTTTCCAGATTCACAACAATCCTGCAAACATTAAAAAAAAAAATTAGAAAAAAGCCAACTATAGTTTAAAAAGATAAACCCTCAGACAATGCCTCAGAAAATGGGTTCTCAGAAATCACTCCTGTCCACTACTCTTATACACATTTAGTCATCATAAGCAATGCAACCATCCTAGATAGATAGACCATAGATGGATAGAAGTACATACCAGCTGTCTCCCGCGTTTATCAGTCCTCAGGATACTGGACCTGGAGAGAGGGGGAAAAAAAAGAAACCTTATAAAGGCTTTGCACTTAACAGACAGTATAAGACTGCACACAGAGCGTAGTTATGCATGTCAGAGATGTTGGTACTCATCAAGTATTCTCAGATGTCCCTACCAACATCATGTATCATCACGCATGTGAACATGAGGTAATGACTCGCTACAACGCACTTTCAAACCACATGTAAGAATTTAATTAACCGTTAAATAAATTAGTTTTTCTGCGAAAGTACTATTAAAATCTTTCCCTCAACACTTATTTTAAGCATATTTGAAAAAGCAGTTTAAATACAAAAAGTATTTCAACTCTCATTCGAGGCCTGTAACACGTGGACCGCACTTCGAATTATCAACTCCCTTTCTTGCAGAACGAATTTAAAACAAAGAATAAAACTTAACTTCTACACAACAAACATAGATATTATAGAAAACCCCACATTACATAAAATGACTTTAATAAAACGAATAAATAAATTACCTACTCCACACTTGACGCGCCGCAGCAGAATGAGACCGAATTAATGCGTCACTTTGCTTTTTATACTGTTTCAGCGCAATGGTTTCTGGGAAATTCCTCTTCTTATATTAGATGCACTTTAATGACACCAGGTGGCGCTGTGGTGCTTTTGCATTCAGTGATAACAGCACGTTTACTTATTTAAATAGTATAATAATGTGAGATGGGTGCGCTAAATGGCTTGTTCACGTTCCGTTTAATGTATCTAGTAAAGTCATAGATAGTGGTTTCATGACATTATATGTGCACATATACAATATCGCTTGGTGCTTAAAAGTTATAGCAAACGGTATTTATTTGATAGAGAGTTAACCCCTAATCCCACCGGTCACAATAGTGACCGTAAAAAAGGTTTTAATTGATAAAACTCTAAAAACCGTACTGACTGATGTTTTAGTGCACTTCCTGCAAACATGGAAAAAATAAAGGGTCTCAATTAAATATGTGCAGTTTCACATGATTAGTGTAAATTGTCACATGACCAGAGCAGTTTATTTCCTGTTTGCACCTTGAGAACATGATAACTGCATCAAAGCTCCAAAACAAAAGGCTAGTAAAGTATGTTAACATAAAGATATGACGATTTTTGGTACACATTATCTTTAAGGTGTCTAGTATTAATATATTAATTCACATATATTAAGTTTTGTTGAGTGTGGTCATAGAATGAGTAAACATGTTGATGGTCACAATAGTGACCGGTGGGATAACTGAACGTAGGTTTACAATATACAGGTGCATCTCAATAAATTAGAATGTCGTGGAAAAGTTCATTTATTTCAGTAATTCAACTCAAATTGTGAAACTCGTGTATTAAATAAATTCAGTGCACACAGACTGAAGTAGTTTAAGTCTTTGGTTCTTTTAATTGTGATGATTTTGGCTCACATTTAACAAAAACCCACCAATTCACTATCTCAACAAATTAGAATATGGTGACATGCCAATCAGCTAATCAACTCAAAACACCTGCAAAGGTTTGCTGAGCCTTCAAAATGGTCTCTCAGTTTGGTTCACTAGGCTACACAAATATTGGGGAAGACTGCCGATCTTACAGTTGTCCAGAAGACAATCATTGACACCCTTCACAAGGAGGGTAAGCCACAAACATTCATTGCCAAAGAAGCTGGCTGTTCACAGAGTGCTCTATCCAAGCATGTTAACAGAAAGTTGAGCGGAAGGAAAAGTGAATTGGTGGGTTTTTGTTAAATGTGAGCCACAATCATCACAATTAAAAGAACCAAAGACTTAAACTACTTCAGTCTGTGCGCATTGAATTTATTTAATACACGAGTTTCACAATTTGAGTTGAATTACTGAAATAAATTAACTTTTCCATGACATTCTAAGTTATTGAGATGCACCTGTAAATCCAATTGCAGTTGCTAGTGAAAATTACACTAAAATGTTGCAATGACAAAATATTGCACTAAATTAAAAATTCAAATGTTACAAACAATTTACAATATTGATGTTGTAATACTGGTAGCACTAATATAAAAATTTGATGTTATATTTGACAAAAAAGTAACAATTTTGAAATGCCTTGATGGTTGAATTCTTTAGTTTTTTAATTTCAGTGTTCCTATCAATGTTGCATAGTTTTTTTTAATGCATAATAATAACCCTAGAATGTGATTAAACAGTTTAAAATAGCTGGGCTAAGATATATAACAATGACTGCAGAAATATGTTAATTCAGTACTCACCTTATCCCACCGCTCACAATTGTGACCGACCATAAAACACAATTTTTTTCCAAAACTTTTCCCAAAAAATGTCAAAAAATAATTATTGATTATTTCAAAGGGTTACCAATGACACATCATTTGGATATTTTCATGTCTGGTAAAAATTTGGGATTAAACGGGTTAATGTGAAATAACTCTGAAATTGGTATACTTTCAATATATCACCTGAAGGTTTCCCACACATTTGACCAAAGAATTCCCACAAATTTGTATGATTTTTCCAGTAATTCGTCATTTCTGAATAAGAATTTTTAAACACTTACTAGATTTAATTTCTAGTTACTAGATAAAGCAGAACATAACTAGAAAAAAAAATACACCTCAACTGTGACTTTAGAAGTTAATTAATTCCCATTACTTTGGAAATAAAAATGCAGCAAATCCCTGTAGTTCAAATGAAGTGAACAACAGCATCATTTAACTCTGGATGTCTGTAACAAGAAATGCATTCAACCATCTCACACAAATTGGTCTCACTGAGATTTAATATTATATTTTGATACATGGAAATCTGGTA